TAAAATAGATATTATATATTATAGATACCTCATATTAAACTATATATGTTTTATGTATTAAAGAATATATAATACAATTTATTACAGTTTTAAAGTAGAATTATATTATACACTACATAATCTAGAAGTATATATTATGATGTCTTCATTTATATAATATAAAAACCATACCAAAATCTATTTATTCTATCAGGTCAAGCCCTCAAAACTTGCAAGGCACTGCCTTTAAACTAGTTTTTGCCATTCTGTCTCTGTGCATCTAGAAACAGTTTTTGGTGACATGCCTGGCATCATGCTGGTGTCAGCCATGCCATGAGGAATGCAGTGCTGGACATCCTGCAAACCAGTCCCTCAGGATCAAGGATGCAGAGAAGTATCCCTAGCAGGACAGTTACTTCTTCACCAGATGATGCTTTATTGCCTTTAGGAAATTGGCCTCAGCCTGGTCCTGGTCTTACAGATTTTTAGGGAGACAGAAAAAAAAGCATCTCTCGGTCTCTGAGCCAAGCTCAGGGCCAGGCCCTAAGTTCCCCCTCTGAAATTTTAAAGCTGCTGTTATCCCATGACACTCACAAGGGCACATTTCCCCTGAAAGGGCTGCTGCTCAGCAGCAGACAAAGCAGCATGGAAAATTCACCCCAAACGGATAATACGCAGCGAAGTCATTCACGGATGAACGCAGCAGCTCGTATTGCAAAGTGGTGGGAAACGTTAATAAAAAGCAGAGCTACCAGCCCCACCTATAATTTAATTTAAACCTCTATATGTAATGTTTAATCTAGCGGGATCGCTTTTCCTAATAAACATGCCGCGTGCCAGGACTGTATAATGTAAATACAGGCAATGCTGTTTGCAGGCTATTACCCATCTCCAGCAGCAGCCGGGGAGAAACTCAATCCTCCCTGGCCTGGAAGCATCTCCGGGGGATGGAAGAGAGGTTTATGGCTCTACCTGGAGCAGCTCAGCAGTTTGGGGGTGTAAGATGCTCTGGCTACAGTGAAGCACCCTGGGGAAGATGCAGCATGGGGAACACAGGCTTTATGAGCTGGGAGCTCTCCGATGGAGATCCACACTCCGTGTGTGTGAATAACCTTAATGCAATTGCATTAGGAGAGCGATTAGGGCTCTGCGAGCTGTCACAACACAAATAATAGGAACAAATAATGTTAACCTTTCTGTCTGGAACAGTTTCTCCTTGAGCACTCTGGGGTTGTCTTGCAGGAAAAGCTGAAATATTTGCAGTTTTCTCCAGTGTTTTAGCAGAATAAAACAGCAGACTAGAAGCTGAGCAGCCTTTGTTTAAGGAAAAAAATTAATGAGCTATTCAATGAAGTCCTGCTTCCTGCAATCAGACATCCCTGGACACCAGGCATGGCAGATCCAGGTGCATGTGGGGTCCTTGCCAGGGGATGCAGGATCCCACTGATGTGAAGGATCTGACAGGGAGTTTGGGAGACTCCTCACCCAGGAAATTGTATTTTCTCTACTTTGTGCACCAGATCTGCTCCTCCATAGTTCCTCAAATGCAAAAATAATGCAAAGGACTGATTAATTCCAAAATCCCATTTGGGAACCTCTGCTTCCCTGCACCCTCATTCCCAGGGGACCCCAAAGAGGGACCATCTAGGTTTGCAGCTCCCCAGCAAAGGCAGCATGACCACAAATCCAATGCTTTCAGGAAGCATGGGATTGCCTCTGAGACCAAAACACATAATACAAGTGGCAGTGTTGAGAAAATCCTGGCAGAAATCTCTTGCTACATCTCAATCACTCCACTTTGCTTAAAAATACACTTTTCCCTAAAGGAGAGCTCTCACATTAGAGTAATGCCAAAAATGGCTAAAAAAACCCACCCCAAACAAAACCAAGTAACTGTGTGCTATTCAAAATCCTTCCAAGTACATTTAAAACAAAACAGCATTTTAAAATTTCCACTTTGCTCAGGGTGTTAAAGAAGGATAAAATCCTCCAGCATTCAGCTCTGTGCAGGGTGACCCACACAAACAACTTAGTTTTCATCAGTGACAATGGGAGACTGCACCATTGGGTAAGTCCCAATTTTCTTTGCATTTTTTTCCTTGGGTTAAAGTCCCCCTATCCCTGTGGTCTGTATTTAGAAGCTGCTGAGCACGTGGGGGATGTTGAAGCTATCAGGTTTAACCCTGTGTAAGTAATGGGCCATGCTAGACCATCTCTGTGTGGAGCTTTTAACCTCTATGTCACTGATTTAACCTGTCTGGATTAGTGGTCAGGATACCTGAATTCTCACCTGAATAACCTTCAAAGTCAGTCAGTATCAGCATCTCTCTGTGCCTCATTCTCCCCAGACAAAGCCAACAATGCTGCCCTTGCATGTAAAGAACTTTGGGAGCCCTCTGGGAGGGCTCAGTTCCATTATTCCCATTACATGGAAGGTGTTGGCGATGGCTCAGGCCAAGATATTTCCTCATTGGCTGCTGGCACCCACTGCGCCACACGCAAGAGAGAGACAGGGACCACAGGATGGGACTGGCCAGGTGGTCCCTCCAGCCCAGAATGCTGCCACGCTCGTCGGGCTGAATCCATCCTGCAGACCCCACCTGTCTGAAAGGGACAAACCACTGCTAACCTGGGAGTGCAGCATCAGCAGGAGCTGAATCCAAATTCCTGCAGACAGGAATTAGCACCATGCAGTGGCCTTTCCCCTGCAAATACCAGGGTGAGCCGGCTCATGTCGCATATGCCAGCCCAAGGCATGATGCTCCCCACATTATAATATGATGTCTACTGCATTAATAGAGGGGAGCATGGAAATTTATTTTCAGGTCAAATCCTTATCATCTGCATATCTTCTATTCGAATATTATCATAGGGACGGGAGAAGAAAAGACAGGATGAATGCAGGAACACCCCAGGTGTCTGGCCATTGTCAGGAGCTCGCCTCTGTCTACTGTGCAGATTATTTTCCTCTGGTTTTCTCGCCCCAGCTTAATAGGACTCTCTCTCTCACATGCAGCCAGGAGCTGAAAAACCATGCTCTTGTCAGAAAGCTTTATTATTATGGTAAAGATTGTACTCATTAGATATTAATTATACTCAGCAAGAGCAGGTCCAGGAATCTATTTGTCTCTCTTCACCGATTAAATTTGCCCAGCTTTGCCGAGTAGGGTTGCAAGCTGGAGATCAGATTTGCATAGCCTGCTCTGACTGCTGCCCAGAGAAGTTATGGATGCCTCGTCCTTGGAGGAGTCAAAGACCATGTTGGATGGGGCTCAGAGCAACCAGGTCTAGTAGAAGGTGTCCCTGGCTATGGCAGGGGGGTGGGAATAAGATGGTTTCTAAAGTCCTTTCCAACCCAAACCATTCTAGGATTCCATGAGTCCAACCACTCCCCCAGGCACTGCCAAGTTCACCATACCATATCCTCAAGTGTCTTTCCCTACATACCCGGGAGGGTGCCCCCGCCACTGCCCGGGGCAGCCTGTGCCAGTGCTTGACAACCCTTTCCATGCAGAAAGCGTTCCTAATAGCAAATATAAAGCTCCCCTGGTGCAATTTTGAGGCCACTTCCCCTCATCCTGTTGGTTGTTACTTTGGAGAAGAGACTGCTCTGCACCACACTAACACAAAATAACTAGGACTTCTCCAGCTTCAGAAAGCCCAGATACTGTCATATACAAATGTGCAACTTGATTGCAGTCTACACTGATGCCAAAATGTGCAAACCCAAACTATTTACACCCCATGGCTACATGGCCCTCCCAACTCAATGCATCTCCCAGCACTTTAGAGATGAAGCCTCCTTGCTTGCTTGGCCATCTGTTTTCCAGCTCACTCTGGTCCCACTATGGTGAACTACAGTGGGGCTGAAAATATTCTGTTACTTATTTAAGCTTTTGTCCAGTGAGGGAATGGATCCAGTGAGTTGCAGATGTCATTCACAACCTGCAAAAATCAGGAGGTTCACTTTCTTCCTCCACCCTCCCTTCCTCCCTTTTTTTTGTCCCAAAGGGACAGAGATCATTCCCTACTTTCTTTCGTATCTTTTTTCCTTTGAAAAAAAGAAAAAGATATGTAGCTAACTAATCAGCCATGGGTCATGATGTGGCCCCTCCAACCACCCCCCCCCACACACACACACATGGCAGAGGTAACTGAGGCGCACCTGGTAAAGCGAACTTCACAGATATTGCACATATACGGCTTCTCCCCTGTGTGGGTCCTCATGTGCCTGGGCAGCTTGCCGGCTCCCATAATGACTTTGTTACAGACAGGACATTGCTGAGATGCCTTGGGCTTTATTTTCCTCTCTTCCTCCAGGGGCCATGGTGGAAAAACTCCTCCAAACTGGGTAGCGCTTAAGAAATTGAGATAAGCACTATAGTCAGCCTCTGCCTTAATATGCCCTAAGGGAGCTGTTGGCATGTTAGCAAACATGTCCTTGAAGCAGTCATTAGGAAAAGGAGGCGGAGGCAGGTCTTCTTTCTCCTCCTCTTCCTTGATCTTCTTCTTTTTGATCACCAGATCCAAGGGGCCACTGTCTACTTGTGGCTCCTCAAGCTGGGAGAAGGAGCTAAAGTCACCGTTCCATAGATGGGGAAAGAAGTTAGGGGCAAAAGGAGAGAGAGGTGGCCGCCTTTCTGGGATGTTCACCTTAGGGTACAAGTTTTCACTTAGCAAGGACTCAATGGAGAAGTCTCGTATCATGCCCATGTGTCCAGAGGAGTTACTAGCTGGGTAGTGATTTGGAAAGTCTTTAGGTGCTTCTGTATATGCTTCTTCAGTAAGATCAGACGCAGAAGGGCTTTGGTGACAGCTTACTTCTTGCACATCGGTTATGTTCTCCTGACTGACAAAATCTTCCACTTCTTCCTCCTCTTCCTCCTCCTCTTCATCTTCATCTTCATCTTCATCATCATCTTCGTCCTCTTTGTCATCTTCATCTTCGGCCTCTCTGTCAGGCTCCATGATTTCAAGGCATACATTGATGATGCTCTGGATCTCCAGCATCTTGGCAGCGTTGAGGATGTGCTTGACATTTGAGGTGGTGATGGTGAGGGTTGAGGTGTAGGCAAACTCGAGGATGGCAGAAAGTGCTTCAGGCTTGACAAAGTCAATCTCGTAAACATAGGGCTGGTCTGTTAAAGTGCCAGTAGTGAAGAGTTTTTTGAAGTACTTGCTGCAGGCAGCAAGGACAGACCGATGGGTCCGGTACTCCTGGTCCTGTACAATGAGGATGACATCACAGAGGAGACCATCATGCCGTTGCTCATTTAAGCCACATAAGATTTCACTGCTGTGGTTTGGGAATGGGATCCCGATAAGATCTTCAATGCCATTGGCCATATTCTCATTTAGTGCCCTAGGAAAAAACACAGACAGTCTTAGCATGGGATTCCCAATCAATAATGCCAAAATGACACTCTTGGTGTCTTTTGTCTTCCCTATCTCACTTGGACCTCTGTAATCACCTCTTACCTGCACTGTCTCACTGCATCTCCATATCACTTTCTACTCCTTCCAAATTCTCTGTGATTTAACCTCCGCTTCCCACCACATCTCTTCATCTCCTTTTTTGTCACTGTCCTTCTCTTCTAGGTTCCCACCCTATTCATCTTTTCATAACCATCACAAAGCTCCCTTTTCTCCTTCACATCCTTCCTGCAGGAACATTGTGCAATGACTCCCACTCCGTCTTGATTCTTCCACATCCTCCCAGAGCCAATATCATTCCAGGCACATGTTAGATTTGCCCTGCCAGGAGCTATGTGGGGAAAGTGTGATGCTGTATTGCTTCACACTGCCAAGTGACAGCACCTACACCACATAAACAAGATGAGCCAGGGAGTGCCCATCTCATCTACTTGATTGCATTTGGAACTGGTTCAATCGCACATCCCAAATAGGAGGGTTAAGTCTGTTTGCTGCAGTAGGAGAGTGGTCCTTATGGACCAGCAGGTCTCCAGTTCTGCTAGTTCATGCCTGGAAACTACCCCACATCACCTCAGTATGTGGATAGCCCACATAGGTGTGTCTTCCCAACAGACCTGGGAATAGGCAGGCAAGCAAGAATTAGTGTGTCGTGGTGTACCTAAACACTCAGAGAAAGGCAACCTGGGAGCAAGGGCCTGGTCAGACACAGACAGCTATCTGCTATCTTCACCCATGAGCTGAAATTGCTCCATTCCCAATCCCACTTGAACTTGTCAGCATGGTATCAAATGCCCTGTACATCTGGCAGACACCTTCCCCTGCTAGAGCAGCTTCTCTTCAAAGGGAAACTCGGAAGTAAAAAGCCCACACCCAAAAAGGAAAAACTGATTTTTTTTGCCACTTTTCAATCTGTAAGATGTTTCCTCTCTCACAAGGCTTCAGCAGTCCTTCGACATGAGAAATCCCAGGAAAGGAAAGCGATTTCCTCCAGCAGGCAACGAATACATTAATCCCCTCACACACAGAGAATACATCAAACAGACAGAATAACTTTGAATACACTGACCCTTTCGAAACCCCCAGGACACAGAACATGTGTTCGTGCAGTGTCACCTCTACCAGCCCCAGTTCGTGGCCCTACTGCAGATACACACTCGGTTCAGAGCTGAGTGGTTCATCTCCAAGAGAACCCAGGGTACAGGTAAGCAAAACTGCAGCCTCACTCCAGCCCCTTTTGCAAGGCTGAGACCATCAGGAAGGTTCCCAATCCCACCCTCTGCACCTCTGTCAGGTTCCCAATCCCACTCCATGCCACCCCTGCATCTCTCCCCTAGCACCCATTGGCATATCCTGGGTGTTCTCTGCTCAGTTTCCGGATGCACTGACTTCAAACCTCCTTCCCACTGGCTGTGGGGACCTGACCTACCTCATGGTGAGGGCCTGGCTCCCACCCTCCCACCTACCTCCAGCCCTTGGAGATGGAAAGAGCCTGTTCTGATGGAGGTTGTCTAGGGAAATCCTTGCTTCACCTTGATCAGTAAGTCACTCACCCCTGGGGGAGGCTGGTGGGAACTGCAGAGGACATCAGACCTTGTGGCAAACATTCCCATGGGAAAAGGAACTGTCTCCCTTCTTCTCCCTCTGCAGGGTCAGCCTTCAGCTGAGATCTTGCAGACAGCTCCCTCACACCTAATCACCACTGCTAAACACTCATGTGTGGGAGACAGTGAATGAAGGCCTTGGGCAGACAGTGAAACCTAGATGGAGCATTCCTGAGGACAGCTCATGAACCACAAGCCTGGTGGCAACAACACCAGGATGGGGGACTGCTGGCCCTGGGCAGTGAAGCCTCATAGGCTGCAGTTGGGCAGCCCCAGCCGTGAGAAGCCCTCTCCAAACACCTTCCCATGTCAAGAGATTTGGAGAGGAGCCAGGAATTACACCTGTCTGAGACCCCTCAGCTCCAGCCACTGACATTTTCAGTGGAAGGGGGATGTTCCAGCCCCACATCCTGCAGTGTGCCCATTATCTCTGAGCTAATTATGTCTGTTGTCTGAAACAAATTGATTAATTACAGTGTGCTGTGCTTAACCATGTTAACCAGCTACGCTCCTCTACCACCAGCCTGACCAGCATTGTATCAAATCTGCCTTGAAAATTACCAATAAATGACAGTAAATCTGGTGCATTCTTGAAGTGGAGTGTAAGATAATAAATAACCCCTGAGCTGGAGAGGAAAAGACAACTTTCTTTTTAGAGCTTTGTATCCTGAATAATGCTGTTTTTATCTTCTACGCACTAATTTTTGTTTGGAAGGAACATTTTTTTGTGTTAAAGGAGCTCCCTGCAAGAAGGAACATGTATTCCTTCAAAACTTTTTGATCTTTTACTGCCAGATCACCCTAACTGCCAAAGATCAGAAAAGCAGAATATTAGACTGTCCTGAGAAATGTTTTTATTGATTTTTTTTCTGGACACTAAACTTCATCCTCCCTAATTAGTGGCTTGTTCACTCCTCAGCAAGAAAAAACAGAATTGGGAGATCTAGGGGGATATAT